CTGGCAGGCCAACACTGTATGAAAGCTTGAAGTGGGCACATGGAAGAGGAGAATGCTACAGTGTAGAACTTTCTTCCATTTTTGCAAGGGAAAACTTCCTTGAAAGTTTGACGAATGTTTTCTCTGAAGGAGGAAAGAGCATGCAATCATGACACTAGTATGACACTGATTACTTAAAATTTTAAGGTTATAGAAATTGTGTAAGAACTCTCATGGATTACTGACACTGACCAGAATCCAGAATCACAGAATAATGCAAAAAATCAAGGACACAGAGGATAGGTCCAAATGTTTTCTCAGAATATTTCTCTACTGCCTCTTCTGAAACACGAGGTCCAGGACCCACAAGTTTTATTGTATACATTACTAGGAATGTCACTAAAAGCACAATATACCATTGGATTCTAAGACAGAATTAATTACTTCCTCTAGAAACAAAAGCCAGTTTACCTATGAAATTTGCCTCACTTCTGAGGAAATGCCAACATTCTGCTTCAGCTCCCAAAATGATATAAACTGGACAATAAACATGCAATTACATGTAGATTGTAGAGTCTGTTTAAAGGTACGTGTGTGTTCCTCATTCAGTTGCAATGACAGGATCATACCTAGAATAGTCTAACCTGAATTTTTAAACTCACTGGGTAATACTGTTACTTGCTTTCTGCAGTGAGTCAGAGGGACATGGATAGTGACAAATGTTCTGTCATGGATCCATATTTTTTAAGGTTAAATAGATTGCAGTGACACTAAACTGAAAGGAAGACCCTAGTTCATGCGTCCAAACTGAGCAAAGTTGTCACAAATCAATGAGGCCTCAGGTTCCATAAGAAAAGTTGTGACAAAAGACAACTTCATAGGCAGGCATTTTGTATTTTAAATTAATGATTGTGAAGTGATATATATAGAGAGGTGGAACATAAACAGGGAAGGAATTTGGGAAGGATTTGTTTCCATTACAACACAGTAAATATCAACTATCCCACATTAAAAAGTTTCCTTTGTAATGAGAATAGTTGGATTATTGATCCAATGTTTCGATAATTGGGAAGACTTCATATGGTGTTTGGCAATGCTGGTGATTTATAGACTACTTGTTGCTCTTTAATCAAGGCTTTGCACCTTGATTCTCCAGTGTAATAAGATACAGAGAACTGAGAACAAGCCTGTAATTCTCTATTGAGATTCTGTAACTTCAAACCATTTGAGCATCCCATGGTAGAACATTCTTCCATTTATGCTTGGAAAACCTTCCTTGAAAGTTTGAAAAACGTTTTCTCTAAAGGAGGAAAGAGCATGAAATCAAGAAAATAGTTTGACAATCCAGGGCACAGCAGCTACCCAAACCCCGCCCCTCCGGAATTCCACGTCCCTTCGGCCCCTGCCTGGTCCCTGGGACTGGAGCAGACACAGAGTCGGTCTGCTCCTGTCCTGTGGAGAAACTGAATCCTGAG